GGGATTTTTAATTTGTTTTGGGTTTGGGTTTGGGGGTGGTCTTCGGGGTGGGCTTTGGGGTTACGGCGGTTCATTCACCGCTTCCACGGTTTTCCCCATTGTTGTTTTTTAGTACCATTGAAAAAACTTTTTGGCCTTTTCCAAAAAACACTTCCGTTCCCGGGGAAACCCATTGAAAACCCCCCCCGTGCGGGGGAAAAAAAACCCCCGGGACCCCCCCCCCCCCCCCCCCCTACAAATGGTCTAACCAACAACATGCGAAACACGAGCACGCCTCGCCCTCCTTCCCTTTCTTAACCGACCGTGTACACACGCATACGGCAGATGATACACACGGGCGTGAAGGTGTTTGAGAGGAACAGCCAGGCGCGCTGCGCGATAGAGTTCCGTGTGTGCCAGGAGGGTCTCGGGGTCGTGCTCCCTTACATGACCAAGCGGGTCACGAGGTGCGTACTTTGTTGTTGTTTGTTGCTGTTGTATTGGTGTTGCGGTTTTAATTTTTTTGCTCTCGAAAGCTCATCACAAATATACCATTGGCGTCTTGATTGAGGGGCCAGGATAACCATCACCCCCACCAGAGGCGGGAAGTGATTTCGAGAGGATAGGTAGGCTAGGGAAGACATTTTTTGGGCAACTATGGCACAGTAGGAAGGAACGACTGGGCATCGGTGATCGGTCATGTGGGGAACAATGCTCCGTCCTCTCGAGGACGCTTGGCCAATGGTCTAACAAACTAAGCCATGCAAAACAATAGTACTTCCTCCCCCTCTGATGGTGTATCGACTACGGCATGCGTTTACATGAGTACACCCTCCCCTCTGGGCCGACCAAAAACCGGCATATCGCTCCGTCCCGCATTGTAGGGATGCGAGGCCAATGGTCTAACGACTACGGCATGCACGACTATGAGTATGAGTACCCCCCTCCTCCTGAATGGCGATACGTATTTCGCGAACAGGCGAGCGTCGGCGGAGGACATCTCAAGGGCCCTTGACGGCATCGCGGTGCCGGTGTCGTCCCTCTCGCCCCCGGTCGTGGCCGACCTGGAGGGGCAGGAGGAGGGCATCTTCGTGTTCGTGCACACGGTCAAGAACACCGGCAAGGTCTTCACCGCCTGCGTTTGGAAGGTGCGGTGTGGTGTGCATAATTTACACGTTGTAATATATAGCCCAAAATTACCAGTACCCATGAAAAGAGAGAAAAAGGGTTGTCTTATGCATTACGTGCCTCGAATTGCTCAGTAAACACCACCCTAGTAGTATGCATTGGAATATCATACAGTAGAGGGCCCGGTTTAGCGACATGCCCTGTTAGCGACATGCCCTGAATAGCGGCCACGTTTCGTCGTCACGCTAGGGGTCGCTGAACCGGGCATGCCACTGTACGCCCGATTGAACCACTCCTTAG